AGCAATACTGGACAAGTCAGTTGAGGCCAGATTTAAGTGTTAGATGATATATGCGAAAATCTGCTTTGTAACAGAAGGGTGAAATGATTTCTGTGGAAACAGCTTACTGACTATAAGTAAGGTGTTAGCTCAGGATTAAATATTTGCTGTAGAAATTTAGTCTGTTGATTGTAAAAGTTTGCTATATGTAAGCATATAGTACAAATCTGTATGCGAGGGAAACTGAAAGAAACATGGAAATCTACCACTTAAGAAACCTTGAATTGCATTCTATTTGGGGGATCAGGAATAATATCTCTTCACTGTGCATATCTGTCAAGGTGAAAGTTTTTCTTAGGCAGTGTTGCAATTTCTTCCTAGGATTCAGAGGCAGAATGGTATAGTAGATAGAGAGCCAGGCTGGGAGTTAGGAAGACCTTGGTTCAAATGTGACCTCTGATGAGCACTGGCTATACCCTTAAACATGTTCCAGACGCTCTCAGTGACCCAGGTAATTCCTTAAGGCTATATATTTCAGAAAAGGTGATAATATGCCTTGGTAAAAGGAGTTTCCTCATCCAGTACTTCTCTATATCCATGAAAGAACAGATCCAACTTGTATCCCTCATCCTATTCCACTTATACTATCACTACTTTCCTGTCAATACACAGGATGAGCAGGAAATACAATATTCAAGGGAACATGTCCCTTTTTACTGAGCAACCAGGACTCAACTAACAAGAAGTAATGGAAAGATGGAAAGAGTACTGGACATAGTCAGGGCAGCTGAGCTTGAACCCTGGTTCTAAAACTTACTAGCTGTATGGCCATAGGGTAAAAAACAAAAACCAAAAAAAACCCTTGACTTTATTAAATTCATAGCTGTAGAACTGTTTGGTGCTTAGGATACTAAAGATCATCTAGCAAAACTCACTTATTTAACAGGGGAATAAAATGAGTCCCAATAGATGAAATGACTTGCCTAATGTCTCACAACTGGCCAAGTAGACACAGGTTACTTGAGTCCATGTGAAATGTTCTTTCAAATAGATAACACAATCTCTCTGATCCTTAAGTACTCTCTTTGTGAAATAGGGATAATACAGAGATACAATTTGAGGAGAAAATTTTGTAAACTATGAAGCAGGAAACTAAATGGAAGCTATTATTAACATTATTGTTATAATGATAATAACTAGCAGTTATATAGTGCTTTAAGATTTGCAAAGCACTGTACATTATTAATACTTTTCAAAGCAAACAACAGGCCAGATAACTTTCATGATTCTGGGCAGAAATTCAAAGTAGAAAGTAACTCTTGCTCTTCCACTCTACAAATTCCCAGGAATGTTTTTTTCTCTGATGCAGATTCTGCTAGAGTCCTGATTTTCTCATATGGCTGCCCAATTTTGTTGACAGTCTAGGAGAGGCAGTGTCAGGATTTAGTCTTTCATGGAAGATATTGTAATGAATCTTACATATAATATTGGCTTCACTCCTAATACATGGATTCAAATATCTTTCAGACTCCCCTGACATGATTATATTTCCTTTTTGTCATTGTCTTGTAGGTTTAAAGAAATACTCCCATCCACCCTTCTTTATTAAATGAAACAGTTTTTCTAGTCTCCCCGGTTTGGTAATTAAATTAGTCACTGATTTTCCAGCTATTCATACTAACCTTCCAGGCATGCTTGTCCCCTACCTGACACTTTTCACAGCTAAGATTCAATCTTTCATTTGTGCCAACTCATCTATTACCAAATCTTGCTTTTCCCAGAACCACTAGGTCATTTTTCAGCGATTAAAGCTGGAGGTAAAACCTTTCCCGTTTATGAATGACATTGTCTCTTATGGAACACTATTGTTATATGTAATAGCATGGATTTCAGGTACCAAAATATGAATGTGCTAAATATTAACTTGCATCTATGCAGGACTTTACATTTTTTTTTCACTTTTAGTGAGCATTGGACAATTAATTAAGCTGGAGACTGTTGTATACTAATTGCTGCCCATGGCAAGCTAATAGCTCTCCTAAATTAAACAATTAATTTAAAATATAATCAAAGATTGTGTAGCTGGAAAATATCAGTAAAAAGCATTTTTTTTTAAATTGTGGAGCTAGGAAACATTGACTGAAATTGTCCTACTTGTATTCCAATTATATATTTTAAAGCTAACATTTAGGGTTTTATATTTTATTAAAATATTCATAGTGGAGGTGTAGTTTGCACCAAGTCTCATTCACAACACATATTTTTACAGTAAAGTGAGTTGTACATTTGGGGAGACAGGTGTTTGACAAAATTAATAGCCTGTGTATAGCAGTAATTGTATAAATATACATGAACACACACAGAGAAACCTCTCTGCAATATCACTGCTGCTAGTGAGGCTACACAGGAGAAAAACGTTGATGAACTGCTAGAAATGTGCAGGGTCAAGTGATTGCTATTCTAACATCTAATACAATTACATCACCCACAATCTACTGATATGTTTAATCTACATACTCGTAATCTTTGTCCTCTCAGAATAAAGAATTCTTTTTACTAGTAATCTACTTTTGGTAACTTCATGGGATCATGGCATTTAGAAAGCATGTTGGGAAGGGATCTTAGAGGCTATGGAGTCTGACAAGTACCTGCCAAACAAAATCCTGTTATTATATTTGATAAGAGATCAGCCTCTTGAAGAAATTGAAGAGCTGAAAAAACCAACACCTCTCAAGCTAGTAGTGCTACTTTTGAACAACTTTGATGCTTATGAAGATTTTTCCTCATGTCAATCCTAAATTTTCTTCCTTGTAGCTTCTATTCATTGCTTCTGGTTCTTCCCCTTAGTGCCAAACAGAACAAGTAAAATCCTTCTTCCATGTGATAGCATTCATGACATGAAAGAAAAATGGGGAAAAGATAGAAGTGTGTATTTCTTAGACCTCTTAGAATACAATCTTTTTCATATTGACAAATCAATATTTTTCTTTACTTTATGATCAAATGCTTTAAGATCACAACATACCCCCCAGCCAGATGCTTTCAGTTCCTTCAGCTAATAGATATAGATATAGATATAGATGATATAGATATAGACATAGACATAGATATAGATATAGATATAGATATAGATATAGATATAGATATAGATATAGATATAGATATAGATATAGATATAGATATAGATATGGAATAGACTATAAAGGCTTTTTAACATCCTACTTGTGTTCCTCTGCATATTCTCCAACTTATTAATATCTTTCTTAAACTGTGGCACCCAAAATTGAACACAATTCTCTGGCCATGGACCTACTAAGACTATGCAGAAATATCATTTCCTCCTTGTTCCTAAATAATATGTCTCTCAATGGAACAAAGATTACAAGACCTTTGTTGGATGCAATAAATATCACTTTTCCAGGTGATATTGAGCTTCCAATTAACTTGCACCCCAAATCTTTGTTTTCAGACAAACTACTGTCTAAAAAAGCCTCTTCCATTTTGTACTTTTGAAAGTTTGCTCTTCTCTTTGCTTCTATAACTTTTCTACCTTGATTTTCAATTTTCTCCTCTTTTAGCATTATTCTATCAGCTCCCTATCTAGTATTTTAACTTTTTCTTATTCTTGGTAGAATATATGAGAATAGACTTTTGCAAGAACTTTTTAATGTCCCCTAGAGACACCAGGATGAAAGAAAATGATGGAAATGCACACTTCCACAGCTATTCATCCTCTCTCCATATTTCTAGAAGGGTAGAATTCTGGAGGAAAGCATATTTCCCCAAAGTGTGACTTTTAATGAAATAATTTCTTCCTTTGATCCTGTCCCAAGGTTCTGAGTTAATAGCCTATTCTTGGTAAGCATGTGTTATAGTAATATATTTATTGGGGAACTATACAACTTTAAGAAAAAGGTGGAAAGTTAGGTTGAGGGTATATTTGAGGCCATGATTCAAAGATTTGAAGCTATGACTTTGGAAAGCCATGCAAATGAGTATTGTGTATTACAAGAACAGTAATGTCTTAATTGTTAATATATATGTTTAAATATAGTTAATCACCATCTCAAAGGGAAAAAAAGCAAAAGGAAGAGGGAACAATTTGGTTTAGACATAAACAAAAACTGTTGGTTAAAAGATTGTTATAGAGAATGTGTTACAGAAGAAGTCTAAAAAAATCCTTCATGATACATAAATTTTTTTGTTTGTACAAAACATTACTTAACTAAATTGATTTTTCTTTCTATAGAGTAGATTATAGGTTGTCCTGAGAGCTAGAAAAAATGGTTCAGATATCTTAGGAAGATCATTTTCCATCTTTCACCCTTTTTGCTTCCTTGTGCTTTCTGTTATTTATTTTGGGGGAAGCAAGATCTGGATTGTGACTTTACCATTGTGGGAAACTTCTGGGATTGAACCTTCCTCCTCTGAGGCAAATTATCAACTCCTTTTTAATTTATAGTTATGGAGCTTTGTTTTGTTTCATTAAGTGAGTATGTTTCTTGCTCATGGTCACCTAGACAGTATGTATCAGAGGTAAGACTTGTGCCAACATTTTCCTAATAGCTATTGTGTGTTAGAGGCCAGCTAAGTGTCACAATAGATAGAGTACCTGGCCTAAAGTCAGGAAGCCTTTCTGGATTTAAATCTGGCCTCAGACATTTACTAGCTGTGTGACCCTGGGCAAGTCTTTTATCCCTGTTTGTCTCAATTCCTCATCTGTAAAATGAGCTGGAGAAGGAAATGGAAAACAGATCCAGTCTTTTTGCCAGGAAAACCCCAAATGGATTCACAAAGTGTCAGACACTGCTGACATGACTGAATGACAACAATTTATTTCCTTCTTTCCAGCATAAGATCATGTATTTCAGACATTCTGCAGAACTCAAAGCATTATAATAATGTAATCTATGATTATTTTTATTCATATAGCATGCTGTCCTTCTCCCTGTGCTTAACAGTTTTAATTTTGAAAGGAAATTCAAGCTGACACAGATTATTCTGTCCTTTTTTTGTTTCAGGTCCTGAGGAAATAGAATTAAAGTGTCCCTTGAATCATATTGCTTGCCTTGGAACAAACACATGTATTCATTTATCCCAACTGTGCAATGGTGTACTTGACTGTTCAGATGGCTACGATGAAGGAGTCCATTGTCGGGGTGAGTCCATTTGCTGAACAAAGCAGCAGAATGTTAAACTTCCAGTTGCCTATGAAAGTTCAAAGTGAACCTCTAACCTGCTTATTCTTACACTTTTAAGTGTACTGGTTACTGAAAAAGGGTGAATATTATTGCTACAGACACTTAATATACATTTCAAAGAGGCAACTATTGTGTATTGTTGAAAAATGAAGTCAAGAAAAAAACACATTCATGCTTTGAAGTCTGACTGGATAACAATTTCTCATTTTATATGAAAGAGTACTTTTGAGCAAAGGACAGATGAGGAGTTGTTTTTGTCACCAAAGATCAATATCACACCATGTTACACACTTGTTTCTTCTGAACTCTAGTTTAAACAAAGTCAGGAAATTTAAAGTAAAACTGAGAATCAAATATTTCAGTAAGACTTATTAATTTAAATTCTTCCCTTGGTGATGTTTTCATGAAGGCTTTCTATTAGCTACTCTGTAATATATTTGGTCAGGCTTACTTGAATTTAGTTAAACATTTAGTTCATTCTATTAGGACAGAAGGAAAGGTCAAGGAAACTCTTGAACATATCAAACAGAGGATAGTGTAAAGATCCAATAGGGTGTGAAGTCAGAAGATCTTGGTTTGAATCCCATCTCTACCACTTGGAATCTATGTGATCTTAACAACTCAACCTCTCTGGGCTCTAGTTTCCTTTTCTGAAAAGTAAAGGAGTTAAACTAGAAGCAATTTGGTCTCGAAGGCACTTGTTAAGTTCCTTCTAAATTGTAAACACTATGCTAGGTACTGGGGATACAAAATAAAACTGAAATATCTCTGCTCTCAATGAGCTTGCATTCCACTGGGATAGACGATATATGTGATCATTTATATAATCTAAATCTATGATCCTAAAATGATCTTGGAATAAACATATCCCAATGGGGGTAGAATAAGTTTTATCAGTTACGCCAACTGAATTTGTGGGCTGGGCTATAGAACCTGCAACTGAGATCCATGAGGCAAGTCAAGACAAAAGTGAGGCAAATAGTAAGACTAGAACATTAGTTAAAATCAGGAGATAAGCAGTTATCTCTAGTAGGAATCTGGATTCAAAATCAAGGTCACAAATTAGAACAAAGGTCATTTCAGAACACGTAAATTCTACAGGTCACCTCAGGGCAGGCTAAGCTATGAGAATCAAGAGAGATGACCAATTAAATTGGGCTTGTGAATGAATCTACACTGGGAAGCAAATGTGAGAGTCAACAATTCATCTGATACTCATTTGCCCAGGCAGCCAGACCTCAGCAGCTCCACATGAGGGATGTGGTAACTATTGACTCTGAACATGGATCATAGGATTTATAGCTCTAAGGGATCTCAGAGGTCATGTAGTTCAAATCTCTCATTTTTACTGTTAAGAAAATTGAGGCCAAGAAATGTTAAATGACTCACCCAAGGCTTAAGAGGTAATCAGTGTGAGAGCTAGGATTCAAACCCAGATCTATCTTTCCATTATATTAATTTCTATATAATGAAAATTTTAACTTCTTTTGTTCTTATTATAAGATTTTGTAATATGTATACCTTTAGCACCATCTTTAAAAAAGTTATATAAGTAACAAAAAGTAATTTAGCAAATAAAAAGCATTAAGAATTAGTAGTTTAGGATTTTTTTCTAATTTAATTAATTCCCTTCAGACTATTCCATCCATTTCAGTGATAATTCAAAGTTCAAAACAAATTATGATCAACTTTAAAGGGTAAATAGATTTGTGTCACTAGCTTCTGCAAGAGTAAAACAGTCATGATTGCTGAAAATTCTCCAAAAGGTGATTAAGCAAATGCAAGAAATCTTAAATGTATTAAAAGACTTTGGATTATACCAAATATGTTCCAGGCTTTCCTAATAAAATTGGAGATTTATTTTAAAGAGATGAAGAAATATGTTAGTAGACAAAGGAGTGGATTAACACTTAAATCTAAACTACTTAAGTGTGGATTAAAATGGAGTTGGTATTAACTAATTTATGCTGATGACATTTACATAGCAATATGTTTGGGTCTCAAAGATTTGAAATATATTCTTTAATTAGGTTTAAATTAAATGTTATGGTCACAGTATAAAGGAAAGAGTCTTGGACTTGGAATCAGAGGACCTGGTTTTAAAAATCCTTGTACTCCCTTTTTGACCTTGAGCAAATCACAATGCCTCTGAGCCTCAGTTTCTTCAACTGTAAAATGAAGGCATTGGATAACTTCTAATTTCTCTTCTGTCTTTAAATTTACATGATCTTGTGATCTTTTCTCCAATTATGCTCAATGCAGTTCTGAACCCCCATCTGCTTATTCTAATTTTCATGATATTGTCAAAGGGAAACTTTTTATATATAAATCTTAAGTGGCTACTTGTAAGTCTTGGAGCAACCAAGAATCAGAGTTATAATATTTAACAACTTTTATGATTATCCAGAAAAAAAAATCCCTTTTTACAGATAGGGAAACTGAGGAATTCAGAGGTTCTTTTTTTTAGATGACTTCCCTAAATTGCAAGGACAGTAAGTAGCAAACCTAAGATTTAAAACAAATTCCTCTAATTCTACATCCACTGCTCTTCTATATTATGCTTACTCTACCACATTAGAAGATTCTGTCTGAAAGACAATAAACTTTTGCAAAAAGCTGCTTCTTCACTTGAGTTATACTTTAACTATGGGATATTAGGATGTTGAGATGCTTTCAAGGTAAGATGTGGAGAGGTATTTACAAAATATCTCACTGTTGAGTAGCAACTCATATAAATAGCTGTTGATTGAAGTTTTGTATGGGCATTTGGGGTTGAAAAGAATTAGTACTATTCTTTGTTTATGACTGATAGTGAGAAGACTTAATGTTAAGAAAGCATAGTGGTGATAAAGTGTCCCTTGGTAAGGTAAGAAAAAGAAAGGTAGGAAATCAGATGAAACTGAGAACAGGCATGTCTGAGACCAGTTCTGCATCATTCTCATATAGTATGAGCTTAATTCCTAAAGAGAAAGGTATCTAAAAGAGATTTGCAACAATGCTACTGAAGAGACAATAAGGGAGGGGATATATTCTAATCCTGTTTGGGAATTTATGTATGCCATGGAGTAATATGACTGCTGGTGTTTAGCCAATGGTATCCAACAAATGAGTATGGCCTTGGTTTGAAGAAAATAGAGTGATAATTCTGTGGGATATATGCTCAGACAATGTGGCTGAGTCAGAAGAGGGTTCAGGAGATATTCAGCATAAGAGGGGGAAAATGGGGAAAAGGTTCTTTGAATCTTTTTCTTGGAATTTCTTCTTTTGTGTCATCCGCCTGGTATATATATGGGGGTTGTTTAGAGTACTGAGATCAAGTTAGGTCATGGCTCAAAATCACACACAATACATCAATAAAAGAAAGGAGGTTAATGTTTTGTTATCAGATCCAGTGCAGTACTGATTTAATGAATTGTGGCAAGTATGCCTACTCTCAATTCCCATGTTGGGTGTACAGTGGTTTGGAGTGGGGGGAAGGGTAAAAGTATGATGTCCATTGGGCAATCTTATCTGAGGAAAAATTCAATGCAGACTACTCAGATATATGCTAATTAGCCTGGGATAGTCTATCATCACACTTAGTTTCCTGAGTCATATTAACCATCTTAGATCTCTTAATGAATCTCCTTTGGTCATTTATAAATAAGACTAATAGAGCTCCCCGGAAATTCTGACTCTTCTTAGTATACATAGATATACAAGGTTCCAATCCCTTGAGCAAAATACATCACAAGGCATATAACTCACACTAAGGATCAATAAGACAACAGAGCAGAATACCACTATGGACAACAGTCACTAGACTGAGTCTCAGATTCAGACTCAAGTTGCTGTTCATAATTTAGCAACACTTGAAAAAGAAAGAATATATGTATATATGTAGAATGAATATGAGTTCAGTTATAGATATATACTAAAATAAAACAATTTATCTTTTAAGAGTAGATACTCCCAAAATCAGCATGTTGTATTTTTTAAAATTCCATCTCTTCACATATAATATTTTGCACTATTGGTAATAATCACCATATCTAAATTGCATGAGCAATGGCAACACACTTCGTAAATCTCGTGTCTGCTTAAAACTGGGATATTTCCACACTAACCAAAGCCCACAAAAATGCAACAAGAAATAACCAGATTCAATCAATAGTGATATGATCCAGCAAAAGTGATTAAATAGTATTTCCAAAGTTTGCCATTCTTATGGTAATTCGTTATATTAAAATTTCACATGACTTTATGCAGAAGAGTCCTTTTTATGCTCATGCCCTATTCTGATTACATTTGTGTGTGAAATGGTAATACATTTAAATTCTGAACAGAATTGTAGTCTCCAGGCGTTGCTATCTCTTCATAATCTATTACAAGCCCTCATGTACTTCTCAGGTTACAGCAACTCATGGATTTTGTTTTTTGTATCAGAATGGAAAAGAGATTATTTAATCTATGTGATTGTTTTCCAGCACACATTTCAATGTCCTTTAGAGCTAAGGGGATAAAGACAGTGCTGTGTTTACTAACACTGATTGGGGAATAAAACTGTCTGACACCTGCAGTGCTTACCATTTAAAAACAGACACATCTGGGTTCCCATCTCTCACTTCTTTTCTGTGAGTGTTTCTATACCTTCCTCAGGGTGTAACATAGTTAATAATTGTATTTGAGTGGGAAGTGGGGAACAATCTTTGCAAATAATAGGAGGCTCTCAGAAATGATGCTATCAAGTCAGTTTCTTTATCAGATGGTGATTGTTTTAATCTCTTTTGCCAGTAAAAATGTAGTTATCCTGTTATGGGAAATTATACTTTTCTTAATCCACTTATAGTTATTCTAAATTAGAATTTATTTAGTTTTGGGATATAGTTACATGACATTTTCATAAAAATATTAGTTTTACTTTTGTGTTCCTATGAATGTAATTGAAATGTTAGTGGACAATTGAATGAAAGAAAATT